CTACAATACGCCACTTACTACAGACAATATCAAAGCTTGATCCTTAACCTGTATTTTCTGTCCTAGAGGTCAACACAGAATAATATCATCATGGAAAGTTCACAGATCTAAATATTTTTGACAGTTTTATAACTTTTAACTAAATTATAATGCACTAATTTGTCACCAAAAATTTAAATATTAAAGTAAAAAAAAATTGGAATAACATTAATATGCGTTTAACGTTTAATAATTTAACAACAAATAATATAGATTTTTATAATTGTAAGTCATCTTTTTATTAAACTTAAAATATTTTTTTATGAAAATATATATGAATAATTAAAATATTATATTATAACTACCACTTGTAGAATTTACATGTATATATACATATATGTTTTTTTTTTTACGTATTTTATATTTTATAAAAATATTATTTAGATCTTTTATAATAAAAATTATAAGTTATTAAGTACATTCTATTATATGTATATAAACTATATTTTACTTCTTTAATTATATAAATTTACTATTCAAAAAAAAAAAGTGCTGTAAAAATATTATAAAATAATTAAAATCTTTAATCAAAATACAAAAATTAAATAATCATATCATTATTTCAAACTTACATTCATAATTATGTGATTATACAAAAAATTTAAGAAAACACAGAAAAAAATTTTAAATAATTTCTTTTTTTTATACTAATTTTTTTTTTTAATTATAATTTCATAACATAAAATGATGTTTTACTATATCAACTATTTTATTTTTTTTTTTTTCTTAATTTTAATTATATAAATTAAACTTTTGTTTTATTAATTATATTTTTTCTTGTTATTTGAAAACTAATAACATTATTGTTACATAAAATTAAAAATTTAATATTCAAAACAAAAAGCAAACAAAAAATTCCCCTTATCCTAAATTAATATCCTATACTATATAAAATGCCAATTTCAAATATAAACAAATTTATAATATAGTTATCACATAAGTACAAGAATTGTTATTTCTATGTAGAAATTATAACAATTTCCAAATGTAATTCAAGTGTATGATGATGCTAAAAAATAATAAAAATATCTATATTCAATTTTTTGGTCAAATTAAATTATTTTTCTTCCTTAATTGGATTAACGAATATTTTTTAAATGTTTTGTAAATTTTATATATAAAATACATACATACATACACATTACGTTTTGGTTTTCTTCAAATTTTTACATTTATCTAAATTTCATATAAATGTTTCTTTTCTTTAATAAATCAAATTTCGTAAACTATTGCAAAATATTTTGAGAAAGCCTTTTATGATGATATTATAATCATGAGAAAAAAATCCATCATAAAGAAGGCAAGATTTTTATCACAAGCAGAAGAAACATCTTGTATATTAGAACAGCAAAATAGTAAAACAAAAGGAAATGAAGATAACTCCCCTAGTGAAACAAGTAAGCTCAAAACAGAAATTGAATCATTTATGGATGATACTGGTAATGAACTTCGATTTTATCTTGAAGACAATAATATTAGGAATGACACAGAAAAATGTAAAAAGGCATCCTCATACATAAATTGGAGAGGAATGGACTATGTTAATTTGCTATTAAATGAAAAAGAAAAATATAATATCTCATGTCTTGTTGAAAAATGGAAAGAGAAACAAAATTCTTTTCAAACAAGTATAGTTCAAAAAACAAATTCAGCATGTAATGAAAAAACGTTTGATTATTGTGCTATTTTGAATAAAAATGATAAATGCACTAGACCTTATGAATATAATGATCTACCAGTATCCACATCATTAACATACGAACAACTCAAGGAAGATACTTATAGTACTAATAAAACTCAAATTATTGAAGATAGACGGTTAAGCTTTCTCAATATTACTAATGATATGTCTGATTACTATTACAGAATGTATGAATATAACAAATCTCCACGTAATTGTGGAAAGTGGAGTATGTATATATATAAGAGAGGAAAACAATTTGTTAATATGGCGGAAAATGAATTATATGAAAATCAATTATATGTAAATCATTCTATTAAAATATGGAATGATCATAGTAATACCTTGCAAAATATTGAATTAAGAGACACTGGTATTCAATGTAATATGACAACATTAATTCATCAAATTAAAGAGAGACAAAATACAGATGACCCATATAATTTAGATTGGCTTTCTTCAAATAGCACTCAAAATGAATCTAATGAAACTTCAAATAATACAACTACATTACCAGATGCCTTGCAACCTACAATTGTAACTCCTAATGAATTACATGATACTACTACAGGTTCATTGGGTAACAATACGACTAGTGTTAATAATGTAAATGGTGCCAGTCCCTCTGAAAATACATTAACAAGCGACACTTCAGTAACACCAGTTGCTGTAGATCAAACTTCCCCAGAAGCTGCAATCACAGTTTCTCCAGAAAACTCAACACAATCCAATTCTTTAACTCCAAATAAAACAATACATCCTAATACTAATACTACATCTGACACAACCTCATCATCACATTCCCCTGAGGTTGTAGCATCTCCTGCAACTTCTTTACCTTCTGAAACTGTAACTTCTGTAAATAAAATTACATCTACAAATTGCAATTCATCTGTTACAAATGATACTGCTACAGATTCAATGGATATCAAAACGACTAATGTTAATAACGTAAATGGTACCAATGGCTCTGAAAATACATTAACAAGCGACACTTCAGTACCAACAGTTGCTGCAGATCAAATTTTCCCAGGAACTGCATTAACAATTTCTCCAGATAACTCAACACAATCCAATTCATTAACTCCAAAAGTTACAATACATTCTGATACTAATACTATATCTAACACAACCTCATCATCACATTCTCCTGAGGTTCCAACATCTCCTGCAACTGAAATATTACCTTCAAATTCTACTACAAGTAGTGGCACACCTTCAGTTACACCTTTACATGGAGAAATATCTCCTACAGCGACTAATGAATATTCTACTACTACGGCTGAGTCATTGGAAAATAATATTACACCTTCTACAACACCAACTAAATCTCCTGAAACTTCTTTACCTTCTGAAACTGTAACTTCTGTAAATAAAATTACATCTACAAATGGCAATTCATCTGTTACAAATGATACTGCTACAGATTCAATGGATATCAAAACGACTAATGTTAATAACGTAAATGGTACCAATGCCTCTGAAAATACATTAACAAGAGACACCTCAGTACCACCAGTTGCTGCAGATCAAATTGCCCCAGAAACTGCGACCGCAATTTCTCCAGAAGATTCAACACAATCCAATTCTTTAACTCCCAAAGTTACAATACATCCTAATACTAATACTATATCTAACACGACCTCATCATCACATACCCCTGAGCTTGTAACATCTCCTGCTACTGAAACATTACCTTCAAATTCTACTACAAGTAGTGGCACACCTTCAGTTACACCTTCACCTGGAGAAATATCTCCTACAGCAACCAATGAATATTCTAATACTACTATGAAGATATTTACAAATAATATTACACCTTCTACAACATATACTAAATCTCCTCCAACTTTATCATTACCTTCTGAAACTGTAACTTCTGTAAATAAAACTATATCTACAATTGGCAATACATCTGCTACAAATGTTACTGCATCTCCTTCAATTGATCCTATTTCTTCTTCTGATATTACACCTTCTCTTACAACTATGACTACGACGCCTACAGATGATTCTANTTTTTCTTTTTTTCTTAAAAAAAAAAAAAATATCTTTCTTTTTTTTTTTTTTTTTTTTTTTAAAAAAAAAAAAAAAAAAAAAAAAAAAAAAAAAAAAGTAAAATAACAAAAATTAATAAATTAGCCAATTTTTTTTCTTATATTTTATTTTTTTAAGTAACATAGAAGTGATTATTCTTTCTATTTACATTTTTTTTTTTTTTTATATTATTTTGTCTTTAATAACAAAGAAAATTTTTTGTAGTTTTAATTTTTTTTTTTTTTTTTACATTTTTTTTTGCATTAAATTTATAAATAGCCGATGTTTTAGTATGTATTATTTTATATTCATTTTTAATATACATGATTTTTTTTTCTTTTATATTGTATCTATTATATTATATATATGTATTATATATATATATATTTATTCTTTTATTCATTTCCTTTTTTTTTTTCTTTTTTTTTTTTTTTTTTTTTACCATTTGAATAAAATATGCAATTTAATATATTTTTTTAATGCATTTATGAATGATATAACAAAAAAAAAAAAAAAAAAAAAAAAAAAAAAATAATAATAAATGTTTTTAAAAAAAAAAAAAAGATTAAAAATAGCGAATGAAAAAAAACAGGAAGTAAATAAAAATAAGAATAATACAAGAAAAAAATTAAATATTATAAATATATAAAATTTGTTCTTTGTAAAAATATTATATATTTTTATTTATATGAGAATATATATGCTAAAATTATGTATTTGGTTAAGTTTTTAATTTCATAATACTTATGACTACTTTTTTGAGTTTTTTATATTTGTAATAATATGAAAAAAAATTTAATGATATATATTTATATATATATTTATTACATATTGTATGTTGAAATAATTTAATTTTTGACAAATTTTTAATTGTAAATAATAATAAAACTTAATTTTTTGATGTTTTATTTTTATAATAATAATAAATTACACGTTACTTTTTTTTTTTTTTTTTTTTTTTATATACTAGTTTTAACGAATTTAACAAATTCAAGTTGTAATTTTTTTCATATAATTAAAATATTTTTTTTATAATAGTAATTTATTTCTTTTTTTTTTTTTTTTGTTTTATTTTTTTATTACACCATTTATTTTACATTTTAATGTCAAAGTTTTATATATATATATATATATATATATATATATATATATATATATATATATATATATATATATTTTTTTTTTTTTTTTAAAAAAAAAAAAAAAACCAAAACATTAATTTTAAAAATTTTCTTAAAATCAAATAAATTAAAAAATTAGATCTTTAAGTAATTTGTATTTATAATATATATATATATATAGAGAGAAAGAGAAATACCCTAAGATAAAAATATAATGAATACTTTATATAGATATTTTTATATAATGCTTTTTATTTTATAAATAATTTTTAATGAATTCTTTACAAGTATTATTTAATTTTTTTAGGAGATTAAAAGAAAGAATCTCAATGATAAAACAAAATATTTCATATAATTCTAAATATATTTCGTTTCTTTTTTTTTTTTTTTTTTTTTTTGAAGAATGAAAAAGATTTGAAGTATGAACAAATCCAGAAATCTAATGCTCACGAGGAAACGTATATGGAAAATGACAAAGATTTGAAGTTTGAACAAATTAAAAAATCCAAAACACATGAAGGAACCTATATGGAAAATGAAATAAATTTGAAGTATGAAGAAATAAAGGAATCCAAAGCACATAAAGGAATGTATATGGAAAATGAAAAAGACTTGAAGCATGAAAAAATGAAGAAATCCAAAGCACATAAAGGAATGCACAAGAAGAATGAAAAAGATTTGAAGTATGAACAAATCCAGAAATCTAATGCTCACGAAGGAACGTATATGGAAAATGACAAAGATTTGATGTTTCAACAAATTAAAAAATCCAAAACACATGAAGGAAACTATATGGAAAATGAAATAGATTTGAAGTATGAAGAAATAAAGAAATCCAAAGCACATGAAGGTATATATATAGAAAATGAAAATAAATGCATTCGTCAGGTTGTAGATGTATCAATGAAACACGAAAATGAATCAATGTTGGGAGAAAAATTATATCAAGATGATCCTAGAAATGAAATTGAAGAAATTGAATTGAATGTAAATAAATCTAGAAATGAAATTAAAGACGAATTAAATAAAAATAGATTAGAAGAAAATCCTTTTCAAACTGTATGGAATATTAGGAATGGCACATTAAATGAGGAAATAGAAAATGAAATAAATTTACAAAAAGAAAAACCTACATGTGATTTTGAAATGAAAAATTTAGGAAATAAAACGTCAATCAAGAATGATGTATGTAGTTGGAATACATGGATAAATATACATTTGGTAGCCTTACTTGAGAATAAAAAAGAAGAATGGAAATTGAATAAAACCGAATTTTTTAATATTTGTTTAGAAGAGATCAAAAAAGATGGAGAAAATTCTAATTTAAAAGAAATGGGAAATAATTTTGTATCGAAAATAAAAGAAGAAAATAATACCGATACAATAGATAAAAATAGTAGTATATTAGAGAAATATAAAAATGAACAGTGGTTTATTAATTTGAAGAAAGAATGGGAACAAGAACAGGAAAAACACCTACAATATTTAGAAGAACATGAAATTAAAAAAATGTCAGAATTGGGATTAAATAATTTTATTCTAGGTAAAAAAAAAAAAATATGGAAGAAATGGATAGAATGTCAAATAGAGCATTCATATGAATACAAAAATCAGAAATGGTTTGTACAATTGCTAGAAGAATATGAAAAAGAAGAAAATGAAGAAAATTTAAAGGAAGAAAATATAGAGAAAGAAAAAAATAATGGAATAGATAAATGTGAAAAGAAAAAAAATTTGGAAAGGAGAATTTTGTTAGATATTCATATGATGGTATTAGAGGAATGTATGAAAGAAGAGTTGCAAAAAGAAGAAGAATTTTATAAAACAAACATAATAGAGATAAGAAAATTTAAAAATTTGGAGGAAGAAACAAATAAATTAGAAAAAATAGGAAAAGAAAGAAGTTGGAATGTTATATCAGAGAAAGAAAAAGAGGAAATAGAAAAATGGAAAAAAGAAAAATGGTTTATTGAGTTAATGCTAGAATGGAAAAATAATGAAGAAAATTATATGATGGAGATAAATGAAGAAATTTTAGCAAAAAAGAATCAAGAAAGTGTAATAGATGTTATCTTAGAAAGACAAAGCAATATATTGAAAAAACACTGTGAAAATATTTATAGAAAGTGGAAGGAAAATGACAACAATGAGGAATGGTTTACAAAGTTAGTTAAAGTACATGAAAATGAAGAGAAAGAATATAAAAGTAGAATTTATAAAAATAATATAGAAAAAGAAAATGAAAAAACCATAGAAATAAGTGAATCAATAACAGAGATTAATAAAATGGAGGAAGGAAAAATGAAAAAATATGAAAGGAATAGTTTACAGGAATCATATGAAAAGAATAATTCTATAATAATCAAAAAAAAATTAAAATGGAAGACATTAATAGAAATACACATGATTGTATTAGAAGAATGTAAAAAAGATGAGTGGTTGCTGAATAGAGGAAAATTTTTGGAAGCATGCTTAGATGAATTTATAAAAGAAGAAAAAGAAAAATATCCAGAAATAATAGAAAATGATTTAGCAATGATGAGAGAAGGGGAAGAAGACATTAGTACATTGATGATTCAGAAACAAAAACTTTTATGGAAAAAATGGGTACAAAGAAACAAAAGAATGTCAGAGAAATGGATAAATGAAGAATGGTTTATTAATTTAAAAAAAGAATGGGGAAAAGAACAAGAAAAATTTAATGAATTAACAAAAGAATCAGAAATATCAGATATAGTAGCAGGAAAAAATCCTATGCTAGAGAAACAAAAAAGAATATGGAAACGATGGCTAAGAAAACAAAGAATGTGGTTTATACTACATAGCGAGGATGAATGGTTTAACAATTTATTGGAAGAATACGAAGAAGAAGAAGAAGAAAGTATGAAAAGAATAACTAAAAAAGATACGAAAAAAGAGAAGGAAATTCATGAAAATATAGAAGAATTGAAGCAAGTAGGAGATAATGAAATAGAGAAAAATATTAAAAAAAGGAAGAAATTGATACAAAAGGTTTTGATAGAAATACATATGACGCTATTAGAAGAATGTATGAAAGACGAATGGCAAAAAGAAAAAGAATATTTTTTTAAAACAATGATGGAAGAGTTGAAAATACAAGAAAATTTAGATGAAAATGTTATCATATTGGAAATAAAAAAAAAAAGAAGTAGGAATGCTATATTAGATATTGAAAAAGTGGAAATAGAAAAATGGAAAAAGAAAAAATGGTTTATAGAGTTAATGTTGGAAATGAATAACAAGGAAAAAACATACATAAAAGACGTATATGAAGATATGATAGCAAAAAATAATGAGAAAAGAATTAAAAATCCCATGTTAGAAATGCAAAAAATTATATGGAAAAAACACTGTGAAGATATTCATAAAAAGTGGTTAGAAAAAAATAATAAGGAAATTTTACAACACTAATTTATTAATAAAAAATGGTGATAATGAATAAAAAAGCAATATTTATAAATAGAGTATAGGAGAGAAAAATAGTTGTGAAGAAACTGGAAAATTACGTAAAACAATATAAAAAAATTTAGAATTGATAAATGGAATTATTAAACTTTTTGAATATTTCTTAGGAAATAAACTTAAATATTTCTAGATGCTTAGTTATTAATTGCTTAATTTACCCATTCAATAATTTTGTTAGAATATTGATTTATTAATTTCTTGTATAATAAATTTGCTAATGTGGCACAAATAAATTAAATATATAATAATATAACTATAATTATTTTATTTAGAATAAAATAAATCATTACATAAATCATTTATTTTTATTAACTAATATTAAATTTTAACTCTATTATTAATTGTTTTAGCCAATCTATACAATACAAATATAATATCTAACGTTATGTTATTTAATCTTTCATGAAAAAAAGAGTAATACCCATCGCATCACCAAAAAAAAAAAAATTATTATTCTTGTTTTTAAGATGAAATTTTTTTTTTTTTTTTTTTTTTTTAAAATTTATGTTCAATTTTATTATTACCTATTAATACTCTTTTTAAATACTTTCATAGTGCTTTAAATAGTCAATAGATAGTATCTATAATGATTTTTACTTATTCTTTTTATTATTAAATTAACTTATATAGATATTTATATACATATTATACATGTGTCTATTCATAATATACTTAACATATTTGTTATAAAATTTATGCTTTTTAAGACTTCTTTGTAATTTTTTATATAGAACCAAAAAAAAAATATATTTTTTTTTTTAAAAATAATAACTCATAAATAATGTTTTTTTATGAATATGATAACAATATCATTTATTTTATACCTAGTTCTGCTAAATTTGAGAAAATATTCTTTTAACCACAAATTATCTTGTATTTTATTTCTCTACATGCAAAAGTTATTATAAGTGTTCTTATACATATATCTCTATATATACTTTTTAATTATCCTGCATGTAACTACATTGCTCTGAAAAGGAATTCTATCATTCTGTAAATGGTTAATAAAGGGCTTTATTAACCTTTTTGGAAAATAAAAAAACTATTTATATGAAGAATACATAGTTCATAATG